GGTGGCGGGGCCAGGCCTCGGCTGCGCGGGGCGGGCTCCGAGGACGCAGCTTGCCCGGCTCTTGCGGCAGCACTCCCTGACGTCCTGGTGGAGAGGCGTTGAGGGCAGCGCCGCGATAATAATAGCTCGTATTTATTGACCGCTTACACTGTGCCAGGCTCTGTGTTAAACCCTTTGCGCACATCTGTCCTCGAGTCAGCCCTGTGAAGTCGCCACTACTATTATCCTCATTTTTCAGAGGCAGATGCTGAGATTCAGAATGGTAAAAAGACTTGCGTGTAGTCGCAAGGTGGTGAAACCAGACTGGAACCAGATGTTTCCTGACACCCTATCCCTGCTGATGCTGAACAAAAAGCTGTGACACCAAGGCCTCGCAGATGTCAATAAATCGCTCCCCGGTAGAAATACATAAGAGGTAAGGAAGAATGGGAGAATGTGGATGAAAAGTGTGAAGGAAGGAATGCTGGGTCCCGATATTTACTGCAGACTCCCTTGATAGTGGGATTATTTCCAGTGGTCAGATCAGTGGTCCAGAGGCCATCAAGGATCATGAGGGGAATGTTACCGTCCAGAAACCCTCTCATGGCTTATTCCTCTAAGGCAGAGGTTTTAATTTATTGTAGCTGCTGACTGTTGTGCAGCTGACCGGAGATGCCCTCAAGGCATCTAAAACTGAAGGTGTCCAAATTGAAATTCATTATTTTCATCCCCTTTATTGGCCTTCTAAGATTTTCACTGGGGTGAAAAAGAACCCTCCCTGACACACCCCAAGTGCATGCGCACACAGGACTGGATGCAGCTCCACTTCATCCATCCCAGTGAATGCCACCACCGTCTGCTGGCTTGCCCAAGCAGAAGCCTCCGGATCATCTTCGACTACCCTTTCACTTGACTTGACATGAATATAAATGTTTTAACTTTTTATTATGGAAATTTTTAAATACATACTAAAGGAGACAGCATGATATAATAAACCCTCATATACCTATCACTCAGTTTAAATAATTGTCAACACCTGGCCAAGAGTTTATTGTGATTTGACAAATATCTATGTTATATGAACCATGCACCAGGTCCCAAACTAGGCCCTAGGGATCCGAAGATGAATCAGATTTGACTGTAACCAAAACTGGAGAATATAACATCTGACCTTGGTCCTTGAAAGATGAGTAAGAATTACCCAGAAGAAGAAAGGTGTCCTCATTCATTCATTCTTTTGTTCTCTTTCAACAAATTATTATTGCGTGAGGCACTGTCCTTGGTGCTAAGCACACATAAAAAAGCAAGATTCAGCCCTTGCCCTCTTGAGGCTTAAATAACAGGGGAAAGAGACATTAAACGTGATTAGTATCTTGAAGAAGTACAGGATGCTATGTGAGTGGACTAAATTTGGCCTGGGGAGGTTTAGGAAAACTTTCATAAGGAAGAGCCCTTATGTGAGGGGAATGGGGTGAAGGAGAGAGAGGGCAGCCAGAAGAGAAAATTATTCCAGGTCAAAGGAGAAGTACAAGAAGGCCAATATGGGTGACAGTGGAGAAGAATGGCATCAGATGAGCTGGAAAGGTGAATAGGTGCCAAATCAAGAAAGGCCTTCCTTGTATGTTATGCTAAGTGTTTTGGACTTTAAGGGCAATGGAAAAATCATCAAAGAGTTTGAGGCAGGGAAGTAGCATGTTTACCTTTGCATTTTAGAAGATCATTTCCAGCTGCTAAGTGGAGAATAGATAGAAAGAGACCAAAATTGGCAGAATAGGGACCAGTTAGGAAGCAATCGATGTAGTCTCGGTGGGAGATTATTATAATCATGGGAGTAGGGATGAAGAAAATTCAGGAGGTATAAATTAGCCATCAATTGATTGGCTGTGAAAATATGCAGGAAAGCATGACTTCCAGATTTCTGCTTGAGCAAATGAAAAAATCCAGACATAACAATGGTTTACAAACAACCCACCAAAATACTTGTCTTCCAAATCTCATTGGGCAGGATGGCTGCAATATCCAGAGAAATCTCTTCAGGTAACCAGAGGCAGACAGATAGGTTGGCGAGGATGGGGAGAGGAGTCTAATTAGCTAAAATGCAAAAAGGAAAATGTGCAGTTTACCTACAGGGCAGTTTGACCCACAAACAGTCTTCCTGAATCTTTGATCTCCTTCTGGGTCTGCAAGCCTCCTGATCAATGAGATGTCAATCTGTGCCCTTCATCTATCCTTTCTCTATTGTATCTATTTCCCCTTCTGATGCTCTTCATGGCCTAGGAGCAAACAATATCTATAAACCACCTCAGATGCTATGTTTAGTTATAACCAATGTTGGTCCCTCTGAGGCAGTGGTCTTTTAAAATTATTACTTTGGATCTATCAAGAAAAACATCAATTAGAAGCAAATCCATTCAGAGTCACTTACCGAGAGCACTGGCTTTATGCATTAGCAGGCAATTGGCACTCAATTCACCTATATGGAAGAATAGAACTTACATATCTCTTAGCAGCAAAGACTCTTAATGGAGCAAAGGCAGCCTTTTCTACCACCACATGTAAGTATTGCTTTGATATTATAATTTTTCTTATAGTTGATCCAATAAACCCTCTTTCTTCTGGGTTGTTATCATTTGAAAAATCTGTAAGGAGTAAAATTTTCCCACATATTCTATAGAGTGGAATTCATAAATCAGATGATAGGTCTGTCAAGGACTTCCTCAACACCCTTCTTCAACAGGACTATTCTAATACATTCCCAGGAAGAGCATATAGAATAAGAAGAGAAAAGGACTGAGACCCGAATTCTGGGAATGCCAGTATCTGGGTAGCCAGCAGAGGAAAAGAATGGCAGGAAGAAAACTGAGAAGAAACAGAGTAAGAGGAGAATCAGGAGAGAGTAATGTCATGGAAGGAATCCAAGGGAGGAAAGATATTCAAGGAGGAAGAAGTGGTCAACAGCATCAGATGCAGCAAAGATTTCCAATAAGGTTAAGACAAAAAAGTATCCTTTGAATTTGGTGACACGGAGGTGATGAACATCCATGCTGTGATCTGTATCAGCAAAAAATGGAGGCAGAAGACACAATGCAATGAGCTAAGTGAATGAAAATGAGGAAGAATAAGTAAGTACAGACCTCCCTTTTGAGAATTTTGGAAGAGAGAATAGACAGCTGAAAAGTGATATGAAGTTAAAGCTTCTGGTTTGTCTTTTTTTTTTTTTTTAAGATGGTAGAGAATCGAACATGGCTATATACTACAAAAAGATAACAGTAGAGAAGATGAATTTTAAAGTAAAGAAAAAAAGAAGCTGAGATATGGAGCAAGATCCTGAAGGTGATGAGAGGAGGTAGGATCAAGGGCTCATGAGAAAAATGGAAAACCTTAACTTTATAGGCTAAAGAGATAGGGGTGAGGACAAGGGTGTAGATGGGGTAATTAATACATTGGGAGCAGGCAAGAGGTTGAGGTATTTCATGCCCAGTGATATCAATATTTTCAGAGTCTTTAGCTGAGGAAGAGAAGGAGGGTTGCGTGGAGAACAAGAAAAACTTTACAAAATAAGTATTATCCTGTCATGAACATGTTGTCTCCCTTATTGTTGTTATCTGCACAGCATCCATTCCTCCTTTTATTGGCAACAACACATCAATTTTCTTTGAGACGCATCCCCTCACCACTCTCAGTCTATGTGGTTCAAATGGGAATCTTCTGAGCCCCACAGTCCACTTCAGTATTGGGCTCCTGGACCATGATCAGATCAAAGTGATCAGTTCAGAGGTGGGCACATGACTAAATGTGAGCCAGTGAAAATCAAGTCCAGGAATTTTCCTGCAACTATTTGGCAAGAGCTGATGGTGGAATATAAGCCTGGTGGGTATCTTGCCACCATGAAGAATGAGCCTCCCTGAGAATGAAACAGCTAAAGGATGGAGAGAGGCAAATACCTGATAACATTACTTTAACGCCTGTATTTACCTCTGCCTGAAGTCACATGAGTCAATAAATTTCCTTTTTGTATATACCACTTCAAATTGGATTTTATCACTTGCACCCCAGAGTTATGACGAATCCATGTGGCAGATATTGCTTGTTGGTGCTCGTCCCTATATCTGCTCTTCTGTACTCTCCCCTCTACTCAAAGGGCTAGAAATCTGAAAATCACACTTCTCAGATTCTTTTGTTGCTTTGTTGCAGTTAGGCTCTACCAATGGGGACCTTCATATGAGGAAGATAGGAAGAAGCAAGAAATCTTTCTACTTTTGGCAGTTACGCTGGCAACATCAACTTCTGATGTTGCAGAAGTAGAGGAAGTCCCAGCATCATCAGCAATACAAGCTCATGCCATATCAGCAGATAGTGCAAATTGTGGAATCCAGCTCCTTGATATTTGAGTCAAACCATTTCTCCCTTTTGCTCCTCTAAACCAATATTAGGGGTAGTTTCCTGGTCTCTGGGTAGTCCTGTTTTTCCTCTTAATGCTTCTCCAGACCTCTCCCACAACGTTGTAACAAATTCTTCCTAATAAATACTTCCCTACTTGGAATATCTGGTGATTTCTGTATCCTTACTGAGCAGTGACTGATGCTATTTTTTATACATACGTGATACACAGAGACACACACCACACACAAGACTCAGAGAGGCAGTTCCTCAAACCTACAGAGTTAGTAAGTGGCCTAGCTGGGATTGGAATTCAGACATATCTGACTCTAAAATTCTCACTCTGTCTCTGACCTGAAGTTGGTTTTTGTTGTTCTTTCCTATGGCTAGATTAAATAGAAGTTAAAGAGGACAGAGAAATAAAAGTATTATTAAGAAAATTGTTCAGATGATCAACTTTGATGTTCAATTTGGGTGAGAAAAACAATAACTTTTAGGGAATGGAGGACTGGAAGATAATAAAGGTATCAAATATCTCTATATATAAAGTCAAAGAGTGGGAAACAGAGTGAGGTGGTGAGGAAGGCAGAAGGATGAGGATAAGAGGTTGTGGTCACGAATGGGATGTTGGAATTTAAAGAATTTCTTCACAGATGGAACAATTGTGAATGATGGCTGGGGTCAGAATTGGGCCATAGTAATTGGGTGGCTGAAGTGGGCACTTCAGCAGTTGAGAGGACAGTCAGATGGTTGGTAAATGGTGGCCTTGAGAATGATATGGCTCGCCTGCATGATGCCAGAGAAAGAGACATTTAACTTGCATGGAAAGAGGAAGAGAAATGGTACAGATGTGTGTGGAGTCATGCCAGTGCTGACACTGCCTCCCATCATTGGGCCAGCTACAGGAAAGGAGGGGCCCTGTACCTGTCCCAATGGATGGGAAGCAGTGTCAGCATTGGGTCTGAGCCCGGTCTCAACTAAAGCTAGAGCTAAAGAGATAGAAAAGCATGTTAACCATGGAGTGTTTAAAGAATACAGAGAAGCTTATTAACCATGGAGTGTGAATTCGAGAGGGCACCATGAAAAGTTTTGGAAGAAGAGACACAATGTAAAGAGGGATTTTTTTTTCATGGAGAAGTTTGGAGGTGAGATTTCTCACTCTTCCTTGCCCTCCTATCTAATTCATCAGCAAGTCCTACAGACTATGTCCTCTAAATATTTTTTATTCTGCCCACTTCTCTTCATCTCCATTGCCACCCAGTGTCTAGGCCTCCATGATTCACCACCTGGACTACAGCACCAATCTCCTCAGTGGTCTCTTCACATCCTCTGTAGTCTCCTTTCACCCAATATCCACTTTGCAAAAATAAGGAACCTTTCTAAAATATAAATCTCATCACCTCACTCCCTTGTCTAAAATCCTTCAGTAGGTCTTCATTGCCCCCAAAGATAGACAAAATCCATGCTTTCTAGACCCCCATGAGCCCCTGCCTCCTTTTCCAGCCTCAGCTCCCACCAGCCCGTCGCTCAGCCCTGCTGAGTAGTTGTGATTCCCACTCCTGTCTATCTTGTCTCCCCTGGCTTTTCTTTGCTTGTGTTGCCTCCTCTGCCTATAATGCTTCCTGGCATGGTAGTGCATAGTAGGCATTAAATGTATATTTGCTAAAGGAATTACATACATTCTACTCATCTTTTAAAATTCAGCTTAAGTGTTATGTCATGTATGAGGCCTTTTCTAACCCACTCTCCATCCCAAGTATTGCTGGCTCCACTTTCCTTTGTATATATAGTCTTCCGTCTTAATATCTAGTTCACTTTATTGCATTTATCTGATTTCTTGCCTGTGTTCTCCTCCTGACTATGATAGAGCAGCAGATTTTTGAAGGCAGTCACTGTCCAATTGTTACTCCATGGCCTGAAACGCTGCTCTGCTTATTGGGGTGGGGGAGGGGGGTGCTAAGTTAGTAGATGAAAGAAGCATTAATTGGACCTTTTCTAGGAGTTCCTTGGAAACAAGCTAGAGACTTCCTTGTAACAGAGCAGGTGGGAGAAGAGAAGAAAGGAGACTTAACTGCTCTACCTTGAGAGGAGGAAATTAACCTTGAGTACCAGAGTTGCTGGATAACTGTTTAGACACCTCTAGACTCCCTGGCGTGATGCAGCAGTGGCTCCAGATGTAGCACATGGAGTGAATAAGGCCCGGACCTGAGACTCTGGTCTTGTCCAGGGACAGTCAACCCCATGAGGAGAACCATCCAGACATCCAGACACCATCAGGGATGAAAGGGAAAGCTCAAGATACTTCTTGGGAATGGACCCGACAGTCCTGGTGCCTGGTCACTAATCTCTGCTCCCAGCACTGGCCAACCTCAAATCCTGAGTGGAACCTCATCTAGAAGATCCAGATTTAGCCCCGCCCCCTACTCAACCCCTTGCCATCGAGGGTGGTGAAGGGACCTTAGGTAATTCTCAACCAGAGAAGCCTGGTGCCTGTCAAGAGTCACTCTATGAATTAGCCTCCCAGTGCAAAGCCCCATGTGGCCATGGAGCTTGTCAGTTTGCCATTCTACTCATCAAAGCCTCACAAAGCAGGAGGCCACCAGATCCGGAGGGGCTGACCCTAAACCAGATGAGGCCAAGGGCCAGAATGTGGGTCTAATTCCAGGGCCCCTTCTTGAGAGAATCCAAGGGATGGGTTTGAGTCCATATTCATTGTCACTGGGAGGTGGGCAGTATTATACCCATTTTATGGAAGAGGTCATCATTGAGGCTAGGATGCGGAAGCTCAGAGTGAGGGCTCTCTGCCAGAGTCTGAGACTATTTCTTGAGTCTAAAACAAACCAACCTCTAACTTCTGCTGGTTTGAAAAGGTAGAAGAGGAAAAGGGTCTCACCTGAGACCCAGTTCCCTATAGTCCAGGCCCACTCTTCCATCAAAAGGTTGTAAAGTTTGGAGCCTAAAGCCTTAGTTCGTTTATGACCAGAAAAGAACCAACCACTGAAGCCTCCGCCAGGACATCATACCATCTCGGCCCACATTCACGGGCTCGGATGGTGCACATACCCAGAGGACTGAACGGTAGCCAGCATGACCCCCCAGGAGAAGTGTTCTGTAAATGTTTCATGGTGCCAAGTCTCTGAATCATTCCTTCTCCCTCTCCTCAGCTTGCCTTCGACACGCAAGTGATATCTGTTTCCTCACCTTAACTTCATTACACTTGTTATGCCTAACTCATGGTAACCAAAGCCTTGTCTTCTAGTGTGGTGCTGCCTGAACTACCTGGAATCACATTGTGAAGGCTCCTGTGATCCTCAAATAGTAGCTCTGAGCCAATCTACTTGGCATATGCTGACCCTGGCCCTATTTTCTTGATGCCTTGGAGCCAAGCTGTGGTCAATTATTAGCATGCTGGGTCAGAGTCCCTCTCTGCCTCTTCCTTGCTATATAAACACAGCAGTTCCTCTTCCTTTTTGGTCTTCCATTTTCTTCTGTGTATAGATAGTCTAGAAGAAGCCAATTTAGGATCTAGATTGAGAATCAACTGGGCAGTAATAAAAAGGAGTTAGCCACATAAAGCACTGGCTGAAAAACATTTTAAGGAGAGTGGACAGCAAATACTCTGAGGAATCAGGAAAGGAGGCCATTGTGACTGGGCTGGAGCATAGTGAAGGAGATGGTGAGTGGCTTGAGAAGAGGTTGCAACCTCATTTAACCTAGAGAGCCTCAAAAGAAATGTTACTAGCTTCTCAATTCAAAGAAAGAAGTGAGATTGATCCACAATCAGGGCCCCTTGGTTCAAGTTATGAAGCCCTCTGGCTTTATTGTAAGGAAAATGAGGAGAAGGAGCTGGGCCAGACTCACATCAGGAGCCCTGTCAGTGACTGCAGCCAAGGAGGCTGTTCATCCTCTGGGCTTGTGGAAGAGCCTTGGCTGCACTTAGTTTCTCTACATCACTGTAGCAGTACAAATTGGGGCCACTGACGAGATACAAGCCAAGACCATTGGCTGAACATGAGTTGGGGCCGAGGGACTTCTCCGTGCACAGGGCCCCATCAACCTTCTCATGGGGCCAAGGAAGCTCTGTCCATATGGCTTGAGCTCCTAATTTCAGGTCCAGCCACCACAGCCGCCGTCCTAGGAAAAAGACACCAGACTTAACATGGCTTCCACATCATGGGATCCTGACCTAGCTCTTCTCATGCTCTGATGGGGATCTATGCTATGGAGAAGCAGCAGAACAAGCCGCCCCTTAGCCGCCCAGTTGCCCCTCACCTGCCATGATGTGGAGTCGAGAAGACCCGGGACAGATAAAGGCTGCATCCACAGCCTCAAGGCTTATCCCCTGAGGGCTCCCAAATTCTTTCTCTAGCTGCTTTGGATACCCATTCACTAGGGTGTAGCCTCCCTTTGTTAGGAAGATGTATACCTGGGTGCCCTAGAGGACAAAAGATGTTAATCAGCATAGAGTTGGATATTCTCCCAGTCTCCACCTCAAACCTCACTCCCAACACATACCTGGACCAAATAGAGTTTATCATCCCAAGAAAAGGCAGCATCCACTGTTGTAGGACCCTTGGGCCACTGCTGGACAATGGACCAGCTATGCCACCCATCCCGGCTGGTGTCCAGACGCCAGTAGTAGGACCCTGTGGGATACCAGAGACACTGAGTCCTGAGAAGGAGAGAATGCATCCAGAGGCCAAGAGAGAAGAGGCCACATGAGAGGGAGTAGAGAAGAACTTGATCAGCAAAGTTGGGCATTTTGACCTGATTGGAACTGAAGTCAGAAGGGGCCTGACAGAAGGGCAATAATGGAGAACAGTGGCCAAGATGCCTGGTAAGGCCAATGTCATGGGGTTTGGTGGGGTCTCTCTACACATCTCAGATGTCCATGAACAGAGATGCTATAGAAAATGAGAGATTGTGACCAGAATTTAAAAGGGCAGCACTGCAGCAAGATTCCACTGGTGTTCTCACTCTGGCTGTGTTCTCTCACCCCTAAAATGGATAGGAAAGTGAGGGAGTAGCCAGACCAGTACACTAATTTTCTTCTCTCCTTTTCATAATAACTTACTAAAGGAACTGTCCTAAGCTCCCACTTACCTTTTCTTCTTCAACCCACTGTACTTACACTTCTGTTTCCCTCCTCCATTGAAACTGTGCTTTTCAAGGTCACCAGTATCCTCCAACTTGCCAAATATAATGGTCCATTCTTTGCCTTCCTTAGTCTACCTCTCAGCAGCACTTGACTACTCACAACTCCCTTCTTTAACATTTTTTTCACATCTTGGCTCCTGTGATAAAAGACTCTTCTTATCTTTTTGACTATTTGTCTCTTCAGCCTGATGTCTAATATTGAATCTACTAGTTTGAACCTTTTCTCTATTTACACTCACTCTCTTGGTGATTTCACACAATCCAGGGCTTTAAATACCATCTATATGCTGATGACTTTCAATCCGTTCTCTTCAGCTGATGGCCCTCTCCTTTGAGTGTCAGGCTCAAAGTCAACTGCCTATCTGACATGTCCATTTGAGGCCACTAAGCACCAAAAACTTAACATGTCTGAACTGATTGCTGCCCCCACCAAACACACACACACGCACGCACGCACGCACACACACACACACACACACACATTTACTCTTTTCTTAGTCTTTCCCAATTCTGGAAAAAGGAGCTACCAGTCACCTAGTTGCCTAGTCCCATAAAACCAAGTCATTCTTGAGATCTCTCTTTTCCCTTCCCTACTCCCACCAGTATCCAATCCTCCGTTGGATAATGCTGCCAGCTCAACCTCCTAAATATGTCATGATGACTCCTCATCACCTCTGCTACTATTATCATAGTCCAAGCTGTCAGTACCTCCGATGTATAAACAACTAGCTGGATTCGTTGCTTACACAATTGTTCCACAAGAAGCCAGGATGATCTTTAAAAAAAAATAAGTCAGAACATATCACAGCTCTACTCAAGAACCCTTCTGGCTTCCTTTTATGGTTGAAAAATCCTTACCAGGCCTACATAAACTATCTCTTCTCAAGCCACTCACCAGCTCCTTCACTATGCTCCAGCCCAGTCACAATGGCCTCCTTTCCTGATTCTTCAGAGTATTTGCTGTCCACCTTCCCAAAAATGTTTTTCATCCAGCGCTTTATGTGGCTAACTCCTTTTCATTACTGAAATCTCAGCTCAAAATTCATCTCGTCAAAGAAGAGGCACCTTCTCACCTCTATTGCTTTATCCTGTCTTATGTTTTCACAGCTTTTTTTGACACAACATTTTTAATTTTATATTTTAAAACATCAATGACTTTTAAATTCATTTATACTAGCTCCAAATGGTACTTGAGAATAAGAAATATTCTGATGTTCCCAGAATACTTCATAGCTATTAATTCTACCTGAAAGTATTCTCTTTCCATGTTTTTCTTTATTATTGTCCTGTCCTCCTCTAGCAAGCTCTCTGAGGGCAGGTGTCTTGACTGCCATATTGACTACTGTATCTCAGTGCCTAGAACAATGCCTAGTACCTATCAAGCACTGGGTAAATGTTTGTTGAATAAATAGCTGATATTCCTGCAGCAGCCACAAGTTATCTTTATAGCTGTTTACTGGGCATATCGTGGTACCTATATATCCACCTTCCTCTCCTTTTTTTGCTCTTATTTTGAGAACCAGAGCTATACTGCTCTTTGTGCAAAGGAAATAAGTGATGAGCTCCTGATCCATCAATAGCCAGTGCGTAGGCTGACCAGCAACCACTTTAATGTGGTGGAATAAAAATATGGGCTGGGCCAGTCAGATTCCCTCTCTGGAAATCTAACTAGGAAAAAGAGAGCAGCCGAGGCAGTTTTCATTTGGATCTGAGGCTGAAAGATCATGAATAGAGAAAGGTGGAGAGAACATAGTGGTCCCTGTGCAAGCCAAAGTTGTGGGAAAGAAGAAAGAATGGATAGGAAGCTGTGAAGTAGAGAAAAGAGAAAGATTTATCAGAGAGAGGAGGGAACCAGAGCTATGCTGAGTGTCTGGGTCGCACTGGTGTTTTCACCAAGATAGTGAGTTCTTACTTCAGCTGCGTATTTTTAACATGATGGTGTTCTCGCCATGTCTAGGTGCTCTCTTGACGACTATGGAACATACCTAATACTTTTGAGTCAGAAGTTCAGCTGCATTCTATTCATAGCTACTTGGCCTTGAGGTGTTATGATCTTTCCATTGCTGTGTGTTCTCTCTGTGTCTCTGTGTGGTCCCCCATGACCCTGTTGTCTCTCTCGCTCGCTCGCTCGCGCTCTCTCTCTCTCTCTCTCTTCTATCTCTATCTCTTTGTCTGTGTGTCCCAATGGTCCCATGTTCTCTTGATACTTAATGGTTCTTACTATGACATACATTCTCAGTATAGACCTGTATTTTCACTGCAGGTATGTGTTTCATCACATTTATATGTTCTTATTACAGCATGCATTACTGTTGTGGGGATAGGCTCTCCTTGTGACTGTGTATTTTTTCATTATAGCTTGGTAGTCATATCTGATCAGATTTGTCCAGGGGTCACCTCTGTTTTACATTTGTATCTGGTCATACATATGTCTTAGGCTGAGTGTAATGTGGTTGCCCTCTCTTTCTTTTGAAGCTGTTCTCCAATGTGATCGACACTTATCACTACTTGCCTGACTAACCCGAGCATCTTGAGGTATCATTAGATGGCTTTTACTAATTAATGCCACAAGTCTTGAGAGAGGTGTCTCCACTGGTCACTGAGAGAAGAAACCTCCTCAGGCTAGTGAAGCTATCTCCTAAAGGTCTAAGACACTCAACACTTCTTGACCGATTCTCAGCACTGGGAACACCTCATACCGAGGTAATGCTATTCCAAGAGGCCTGGACATAGGAACCAGGCACTTAGAAAAAGATGGAGCTCCTGAGGATAAGCTCGGAGGGGTGGGGTGCGGGGGGCAGGTTGCAGAGGACCAAGCAAGACAGGCAAGAGCAAAGGTAATATGAGGAGTCATAGGGACCCAGAGAGGTCTAGAAAGGGCACAAATCTGGGAGTTGATGGTACTGGGAGGCAGAAGTTAGAGGCCTGGAAAATAAGAGACAAGGTTGTACAATACGCATCAGAGGAGATGAGGGGTAAAAAAATGGCATGGGAGCTGAGGGACAAAATAAGGGACACAGTGATGAAAACGAAGAAAATGCATCAGAGATGGGAGACATGTGAAAGAGATGAGAAGTATGGGGAGCAGAGACAGGGTATTTGGGGGTATCTCTTACCACTGAAGGCATAGGTAGCACCATGGTTGTCAGACAGCAGTGCAGACAAGACTAGATCTGGGCTACAGCGCCCATATCCAGGAACGTGCTGGGTACCATTCCCATGGCCAGTCCTATTCCTGTGTCCATGGCCTACGGGGAAAAATAGGCAAGGGGGAACACAGACGGAGGCCGGCGGTCAGAATGAAGTCTGAGGTGGGAGAGATGGCTGGAGTTAGTGGGGTGTAGGCTTCTCCCATATGAGGACAACTGGGAAGAGTCGAAATGGAAATGGGGTTAAGGCAAGGGCCAAGGGTTATACCACAGAGTTAAGGTGGGAGCTGGGGTCTGCAAACTCAGGGAAGGGAGATGGATTCCAGTGAGTCCCAGGGGCTGGGGCTTTCTCACCTCTGCCAGGGCAGGGTAGGAAGTAGTCTCGAATGTCCAGAGGGTACCTAGGAAGCACCTCTCCCGTGACTGGGTTGAAGCGCAGGAACTGGTTACCACGGAAGCAGTAGTAGCGGCTGAGCCATTGGATGGCAGAGGAGCAGTTCCTAACAGCCGGCCAGAAGCGCTCCTTTTTGGTTCTTGTAGCCAAGTCCCAGAACCACGTGCGGTTACCTTCGTTCAGTCAATCAACAAGCATTTGGTGAGGCCAGCATGTCCCCTCCCTTCTGCTTGCACTGGGCCCCAAGTTGGGCCAAATAATGGTCCACAAGGAGCTCACAGCCCAGCAGGGAAATAGTTGAAGAGAGTAATCATACAATAAAATTCAGCAGCAAAGTACACATGATTAGCTCAGCAAGGGCAGTGGGGAGAGTCAGGGAAAACTTCCCAGAGAAAGTGATATTTAAACTAAAATCTGAAGCAGGAGTTACAAGGTAGGCAAGAAGGGAAGATTCAGGAAGTAGTCTCGAATGTCCAGAGGGTACCTAGGAAGCACCTATCTGAAGGTAGGCACTTCAGATAGAGGAAAGTCTGAGGCATAAAGCAAATTGGATGTACAGGGAATAGCATAGAGTTTCTAGAGCTTCATATCCAAGGTAAGGGTATGAGAGTTGAAGCTGGAGGTCAGTAGGGACTTGGTCATGGGGAACCTTGTATATAAGACTAAGGAACATTGATTTGTCCTAAAGGTCATGGGGAACAATGAGGAACTTAGCAGAATGACGTCCAGTTATCTTCTCTAGGGTGACTTCTTCTCCTTCCCCTAGTTGACCCTTTAGACCCTAACTGGCTTATTTCATTCCTTCCTCAGGGAACCATATAGTGGCTCCACCACCACCACCATGCCTACCGCTACCTGTATCACCACCAACCCTCCATTACTCCAGCCTCTCTCATTCTATCCTGGACTGACCTTGGAAGAAGAGAATGCCCTCCTCTTGGCATTCTCCACGGTGACATTCCACAGCAGCATCCAATGGGGATGGGATTCCAGGAAACTCATCTTGGAGCAACTTCGGATATCCTTTCTCTTTCTTCTCGTGAGGGTACACCCAGACTTTGTCCCCCTGCATAAAAAGCACTCTATATTTACCTATGCACCTCTGCATACTGCCATTCTACATTTACACATATCTTTGATATATTGCACTTACACAATATCCTCCTGCAGCTTCACACATTCTCAGTCCTTCTGTGGACAACAATGCACTGTCCCCTTGCACAAATACATATTCCTGGTTTATGAAAATCCTGTAATATTACTATAACACACACATCCAGCTATGTACAACAGGACACTCCCATGGCACACTTATCTGCAACACATCTATAAATAGTCATCCATTTATATATCATGCAGTCATCCATTCATTTATACATTCATTTGTTCATTCACTCATTCATTCATTCAAAAATAGCTATATATACCAGATAGAGTACTAGGGACAAAGGGATGACAAGACTGTCTCTGCCTTCAAGGATTTCGCTGTACAAATACAGAAAGGATGCTACCATCTTAGCCACACAAACACCAAGGTAGAAGCATGTGAAGTGCATTGGAAATATGAGAGGAATGCCTACGTCTTCCTGGATTCCTGGAAAGCTTTACAGGGAAGTATTTGGGCCAAGAATTGAAAGATGAGTAGAAATTTTCTAGGTTGTCAAGTGTGGAAAGAGCGTCTCCAGCAGAGGGAGCAGTATGTACAGAGCATGCTCAGAGAACGACATGTGGCCTCGTGTAGCTGGCACAGTGAACGTGGCAAGGGTGGGCAATAAACCTAAAAAGATAACCAAGAGCCAGAGCTCAGACCCATGTGCACCTGGCTTGCAGGAACCAGTACGTGGTGGTGCCATTTACTGAAATAGGAAACAGAAGATGAGGGTTGATTTGTGAGAAGGATACTAAGTTCAGTTTGTGCGATGCTAAATTTGAGGTGCTTATGGAACATCTAAGTTGAAGATATCTGCCAGGAAATTGGAAAGAGATGTCTGAAGCTCCAGGGAGTAATCCAGATCTGCTATCCACAACACAGAGAGTCCTCAGAGCCAGGGCAATGGTGAAGATCACCCAGGGAGGGTATATGGAAGGGCTGGGATGGGTCCCCAAGGGACATTCAAGGACCGGCTGAGGGTGAGAAGCCTGAGAAAGAGCAAGAAAAGGGGTAGGAGGGAAAATAAAGCTGGCGGTGAGGATCACCCCAACCTGACAGCGCCTTTGTCCAAGGTAGGAGAAGGCGCCCCTTCCTCTGAGTAGACACAGCCTGGGCCAGGGAATACAACCTGGTGAACACAGTAGGCCGGATTTGACCCTCCACTCACCCCATCGGCCAGGTGCCATTGCGTTGTGAACAATCCGGCCACCATGTGAAGAGGACCTAATGCTGGGTCGTGGAATCCAAGGGAAGAGATTGCCATGAAGGAAAGAATGTCCAATAGCACGAGGAATAGCAAAGAGGTCTGGACAAAGATTAGGGCTGAAGAATAGCCATTGGATGCTATGCCTGACAGGCCCAATTAACATGATCCCTTAGCCTAAGCTTTTTCCAGAAAAGAAGACACAGGGAGAGAAAACCCGGAACCAGTCGCTAAGGGCTCCACACCAGGGCTAGTTTGGGGAGAGTCTCTTCTGTGGATTCCAGTACTTCCTGGCTCGGCCCTGATCTTGACCCAACAGTACCTTAATTAGGAAGACACCGTCATGACCAAGGCGGAATGCAGCATCCACTGAGCCAGTAAAATTCTTCCACCTCTCTGAGATCGACTTCCGGGCCCAATGGTGAATCTTCCACACGAACTCCCCTGGAAAACACACACTCACTGAGAGACCCAGAACAAATTTTTGGCCTACTATGATAGTCACAAAAAAGCTGTAGGTGATACCTTCAGAAAATTCCTAAGATTTCCCACAGATGGATACACCCTTGGTAAAGGGGACCAGGTCTGAGGTCCCAAATGCCCTAACCTCAGCCACCTCCTACCTTTAAAAAACAGCATGGTCCCATTTTCATCCAAAGTGGTAGCATCAAAGTTCAAGCCATCTGAGCAGAATTCTGAAGTGGCAAAGTAAAAGAACAGTCATATGCTAAAATGCAAGACACAGCCAGAGAGATAAACACACTCAGGGAGTCAGGGACTCACGGAGCATATCTGGGTCCAGCTTGATCCTAGTCCCATCTTCAGCTCCATTCCCAGAGGCACTAGCCCTAGAGAGAAGACAGAGATGTCTGGGTCCACTGGGCCCAATCCCTCTTCCTTAGCTCCTGACCCCAGGTCTAAAAACTAGCCCTATCGCATTCTAGCCCAGACCCCAGTCCTTCTTCCCGAGTGCAGTTTTACTCACGGATGAACAGGGTTGGCAAGGGCCAGAGACCAGCACAGGCCCAACAACCCCAGCACAACTAGTGCTCCCAGTGCTCGAGCCATGCTGAGCTGGAGAGGCCACAGGACAGCTCTCAGCACCTAGCTGACCTCCCTATATAGAGATGGCAGCAGCACCACCCCCACCTCCAAACCTGTTGGGAATGAGCAGTCTCTCAGGATTAGGCCAATATTGGCTGATTACATCAGTGTAAATAAGGTCAGGGTCTGGACAGAAATCTGAGGCCAAGACTAACTCTTCCCGGCAGGAGGCCCCATCCCCCTTCATTGACTTTCAAGCAGTAACTAGCCCATGCCCTCATGTCCAGCTGTGACGCTCATCATCTTGGTAACGGGTCTGGGTACCCTTAAGATCAGGGAATGGAGTAAATTGATTGAGGATCACTTTCTGTGATTGGATTTACCTCAACAATGGGGGAGGAGAGGAGGAAACTAACATTTTTGTGTACTAAGTGTCAAGCCCTGCTCTAAGACAGCTAAAGACACTGATACTTCTATATCCTTTGTAACCACACATACATACAAACATATTTAGAAACACTCAGAGAACAGCTATATCCAAGTTCCACTAAGGGCCTTTTGGGGGCATTCCCAAGCCTCTTCTACTTTGCCCTTGATGGGTCAATAAGATTTCACTTTTGTCAAATGTCCAAGTCCCACCCCGTGCCCCACTCCCACTGGCAAAGAGCTTAGCAAAAATCACCTGGAAGAGAAGGGCTGACAGTAATGGGACAGGAAGAGGTGTCTCTCTTTTAAAGGGCCCTGCTAGTAGTAATTAGTCTTTCTTGGTAGTTTCCACATTAAGGGAAAAGTGCTTTATTTACCCATCACAGAATCAATAGAACTGTAATGGGTTTCACAATATTTACAGCTGATACTTATTGAAATGCTATCTTCTCAGTGAAGACTTTCATGACCACTTTATCCAGCCATTTCAGACCCGTGCTTGTTTCCTTTATGTCACTTATTAAAACTTGAAATTGTTTCATCTGTCTACCTATTTGTTGCTTTTTTCTTTGTCTTGTTTTGCCTATTTTGTTTACTCTTATATTCTCTCCACCACATATAGTACCTGGCATATAATAGGTGCTCAATAATATCTGTTGAATGAAAAAATGAATTCAAAGTACTGATTAGTATTGCAGCCAAATTTCTGACAATTGCCCTCCTGGGGCAAGGAGAATATCAGGGACTGGGGTGTGCTGTGATGGGAGGCATGTTGTGATTGATCTGTCAAAGATTCCCTTGTCACTGCACTTCACCTTATGGTTTTGTTTCTCTTTCCTGTGGTTATGTTGGCCATTCCGGTTCTGGCCTCAGGGCACAGTGTCCCAGCTCCACATCTCTCTTTTCCTCTAGCTCTGAGATCTCACATGTGACTCTAATATCTATCTTCAGTACTTCCTGGGGCCTCTCCCAAAGACTGCCCCATTTTTGAGACTCCCTGCTGAGTCCAAAGACAAATATAAGGAAAGTCAGCTATGGGCCAGGCTGAGGTTCCAGGACTCCTGTTCCTTAGCCCCGTCTGAAAGGGCCCTGATCCTTCTCGGATGGCTCTGTGCCCTTGACATCCCCCTATACAAACTTACCAAACTCTGATCCCTTTTCTACTCTGCTAAAGCTCCTCCCAACAGGAAAACAAAGCTTGCCGGGACCTCTGGAACAACATGTCACTGGGCCTCTGCCATTAGACTCAATGCCTTCTCCTGACGTACAAATGAAAATATGCCTTGTTAGCATCACTCCTCCCCATAGGTTAGTGTGCAAAGCTGGATTCCACAAGCCCTGGAAGCACCGGCAATGCCACAGGTCCTATGGCAGATGCCTGACACCCACCTTCTCCCCTCTGCAGGGCACTGGGCTCTGGAAGCCACTACTTCCAGACTCTCCCTCACCTCTTCTTTCCCTCTCAGCCTCTAAAATCTAATGAGACCTTCCTGGGAATCTCCCCCTGAGCACCTTGCATCAGCTAGCCCCTCAACAACTCTTTCTAGCTCCAGAACTATGCCTGCATACCCTACAGATTTCATTGAGTCTGCCTGGGGAGATGGGAGCTTTCATATGGAGTCACAAACACCCCCCAGAAAACCCACAGTGAGGGTCTTCAGTAGTCATTTCATCAGGGCCCTGTACAGACTTGCGGATCCAAGGGCACAGCCTCCCCTCTGGCCTGGTACAGATCTCTGAGGGGAGGCAGCACACATACTGGATGATGATTGTTCAGCTTGGCGTCTTTTTCCCCACCCAGCTCTGTTTCCCTCACAGTACCCCTGAATATACCTATATTATACACCCAGAAGAGAGATTTACGGGCTCTTTTCACTGTCGTTTTCTAATTTGATCATCTACTCTAACGTGGCTCAGACAGCATTATGGGAGCCTTCCTCCATGACCCAGAAGTAGGCCAGCAGACTCTTCTGCATGGCAGTCAGCTCGGGCTGAAGCTCAAGTTCTGAGCAGGAGCTGAGAGGCAGAGGACTTTCTATTTGGAAACCTGGGCTGTAGATACATTGTCCATTCTGCTGCTAGTCACAGGGCATAAAGCAGCTCTTCTCAGAGGATTCAAGCTGGACTTGCTTCTTTCTCTTCTCTCTTGAGGTGGCGTTTCTTGTTCTGAATCCTTCCTAGCTCTCTGGCCTGAGCTGTTTTCAAAGTGCTTGTCCTTGCTTGGGCCTGAGCGCCCCCTGGAGGCCATCGGAATCAGCGCGCTCCTACCCTTCAACCAGAGGCCGGCCAGAGCCCAGGAGTTTTTCACTCCCTGAAACTGACTGCACACAGCCTTCCTCCCTCACTCCTCTAAGCCTGGCTGTGAGGCCTCAGTGGCATATCCCTTTCCTCTGCAAACCTCTGATACCCAGAATGGGAGACATCAGTCTCTGATTTTCTGGGGAATTCAAGCCCAGAAAAATTCAACTATCTTTTTTTCCATACAGTCTTCTCAGTCAACCTAACTAGCAGCTTTCTGGCTTCCCCCACAGGAGGTCTGAATACAGGCCTGAAAATGTCTTCATGGACAGAGCCTTCCTCTTACATTGCCAGGGGCCACATTTAAGCTGGATATTCATCCACTGTCCCATGGAACAGCCATGTCCAGCCTGCTCTGCTGCTGATCCTCGTTCTCTGACTTTAGTAATTTCTCTGAGTACTGGTGTGCTAGTTCTGCTCCCTGTGGTTGTGTGCTCCGGGGAGCAGAGACTGGATTCCTCTTTTCTGGGGCTGAGCAGGCTTAGCGGTAAAGCTCCAGGGCCCAAAAAGAGCTCACTGCTCCCAAATGACTCCTCTAACATGCACACTTTCACCTGCTCTGTCTATAATGGGCTTTCCTGCATACTCCATCCTTACTTCTCTATGAATGAATCATTATAATAATTTGCTCCTATCTATGGGCACATGTATGTGCCAGGCATTGTGCTAAGCACTTGACAAAGATTGTTTCATTAAGTCACACACACACACATATAAATACTATTAGTCCCATCCTACAAATGAGGACACCAATATTAGTTATCTTAGCCAAATCCAATTGTTAGCAAGTCATAGAGCCACGATTAAGCTCTGGCTGCCTGACTCCTCAGGGTGTGCCTTGTACCTTGTCAAGGAGTGTGCTGGTACATGTTTAATAGCCAACTCTCCAAAAGGACAAAAGCCCTGATTTGTTGCATTTGTTAATTTCTGTAGTATAAATACCTATCATGGTCATTTTCAAGCTACCAACAAGACATTACCAAATGTGAAGCTGGGAAGAAATGTACAGTAACTTACTACTTACTGTATGGTATTTCCACCACATGGATATGATAGATGTAAATAAGTTCCAGAGCACACACAGGTCATGGTAAAATGCAGTAAAATAATTAGGAAGTGATGAGTTTTGAATACTTATAGTCTTTGATTTTAATAAAATGTATTTAATTTTAACTTTACATACTTTTTAATAATGTCTGGGTTTCAACAACTAGCTGTCAAAATTCCTGAAAATTTGACAATGAGCTCTTGTAAGCCAGTATGAACCAGCTTCGGCACCCCACTACTGTCTGTCATACTGCCTTAATGAGCGGGTCAAGGATTTTTTTCTGATTTATTCACTTCTATATCTTCAGCACCTAGCACAGTGCCTAAAACACTGTATATATTTAATAAATATTGAATCTTGCCATTCCTACTTTCTAATTAGACCTAAAATCTGTCTGCCTCTCTTGCCTCCCTCATCGTAAAAACCCCATCATTTCTTGCCTAACCACTGAAATAGCCTCTCCCTGTCTGCTTCTCCTGCCCCTCTACAATACATTCTTCATAGCAACCATGGTTATCTTCAAACACATATCTGAAACTACCTTATACTCCTGCTTAAGTCTTTTTTTCTTGAAGATAAAAATCAACTTTAATTCTACTACTCAGAGACCACCACTCTTAACGTTTTGTTTATTGTGGACTTTTTCTAGTTTTACATCCTTATTAAAACAAAAATATGATTTTCTTATCAAAGAAAAAAAACTTTTAAAGAAAAAAACTTTTATTTTCTTAACAGTGTATTTTAGATATTAGCATTTTTAAAGGGTGCATACAATTCCATTGCATGTTTAAGCAAAGCTTTATATAATCATTTCCTGCAGATGGACATTTAGGTTTTCCTGGGATTTTTTTCTATTATAAATACAGCTGTGATAAACATTGGTGCACATACCTCTTTATGCCTTTGCCCAATTAGTTTCTTAGAATACATTCCTAGAACTGGAAGACCTTAGATGGTTTTAAGGCATCCAAGGTTTTCAAGAGGAATAGTTCAGAGATAATTAACTTTCTTCTGTTTTTCATTCTCACTGTTCTTCCTACAACACAGAATTACTGTCTAGCTGCCAGTTCATCCCATAAGGCATCCTTTCATCCTTCTCACTTAAATTTTTCCATGGTTTACTGTAATACTCCAAATCAAATTCAAACTCTTTACCTGAGTTAAATGATCCAACTCAGGCCTGACTTTCCAAACTTGTTCCTTTCCTTGCTCCCTACACTCTGCTTCCTCTCCAATCACCCTGGCCTCCTTTTGGGTCCTCCAATGCACCAGGATCTTGACCCCTCAAGGTCTTTGTACCTGCTCTTCCTTAGTCTGGAAATCTCTACCTCTTCTTAACACGACTGGTTCTCTACCCCACCCCTCACCATCAACAACCTGCAGGTCACTCACTGCTCAAGGAGGCCCTCCTTGCCCACTCTACTTAATACCATATTCTCTATTTTATTTCTTTCACAGCTTTAACACAAACTGTCATTACGCATTTAGTTCCATGTGTTTACTTGATTGCCTGCCTTCTGCAGTAAACTATAAGCTCCAGAAAGGCAGGGACCATTTCTGTCTATATCCCTAGGGCCCACCATTCTGTCTGACCCACAGCAAGTACTCAGAAGTACTTGTTGAATTAATAAATGAACCTGCAGGCCACATATGGCCATAGGGCTGTTCCCATCATCAGAAGGTGTGAGTCCTTCTAGGACCACAGACTAATTTTCTAAGCTATCCCAGCAGGAGCTCTGCTGTAACCTCCAAGTCTGCAAAGATCATTTAAGACATGCCAATTAAGTCAAGGCATAGCCTCCACTGACAGGTACCACTTCCACCTACTTCTGTGCCCAAGGCCTGAATAGGGAAGAAAATGCCCACTGAATCATGTCTAGGAGGAAGTAAGTGAACCCACCTTGAGACACCTTCTGCATGGCTTAGACAGTCTACTAACCTGGTATCTATGAAATTCAGCCCCAGTATCCTGTTCTGGAGTTGGTAGGGGAGCCATCTGGGATTTCCCACCCAAGAAAATTCACCTTTATTGCCATTTTCTTCCCCTGCTACCATTAGGTGTCCAGAATATAAGCACATGACAGATTGAGGGCTGGGAACTTTGAGCCTCCATCCTTATGTCACTACTGGTGCTTTGCTCAAGATGAGGGTGCGGGGGAGGAATAAGTCTTTACCTGAGAGCACTCAGGGAAGACCTCACCGGAGCTGAGTGACTGATGATTGAGCAACCATCTCTGCTGGCCAGGGCATGGGATCAGGGCTACAAGTGTAGGCCCTATAAGCACTCATCCTAGAACCTTCAGGGAGGTCATCTATTCCCACCTGCCTACCATGTCTCAAGTAGGGACAAAAAGGACCATAAGGGTGAACATAATTGAGACTTCCATGTCCCCCATGGTCTTCCACAGATCCATGGACAGGTCCTTTTATCCTAGCGCTTGGAGCATGCTACACCAGGACAATGTCTTGAGCTTTCTCATGACCTCCTATTAGCAACCCTCACAGAGCCATCATTCCTCAAATCTCATTGAGTGCCTTCTCTGCCACTCACCAGGGTAGGTGCAAGGGGCTTAAGAATAAGTGCTACAACTTACCAGTTAGGAATCTAACAGCTATAGATGCAAGTCTGGGCTCTGCTCTTTATCAGCCATATGCCCTATTTCTCTGAGCCTTAGCCTTTTGTAGAAAGTAACATAGTCCCTACCTCCCAAATCACTAAGTGCTGGTGGTAATTATCTCTGGAACTGGCAGCCAAACCCTGGCAGACTAGAGCTCAGGAAGGGTTGCTAGGACCCTCAATCCACTGTAGAGAAAGAGAAGCAATCTTGAAATAGAGAGCAGGAGGCTGAAGCAGGGCTCCAGAGCTTTGGGACTGAGCTCTAATATTGCCATGGAGTCTTCCATACCCAGCTTCCACCTGGGCTAGGCCCAGATCCCTTGCCCAGGCTTGGGCCTCAAGGATTGCTGTCATACCCTGCAATGTTCTCCCTGCAGCCGCTGGCTGTTTTCAGGTCAAGGGTCATTTTCCCCGGGGCAAATGGCCAAAGGACTTACTATTTCTGCAGGAGTGGGGATTTGGTAGGTGGCTCAGGGTCCCAGGGGTTCACCCTCTCTTGCTCTCCTCTCCTAAAGCTTCAAAATGTCAGGACCCATTTGGGAATCTGCCTACCTTTTAGTCCAGAGCTAGTCCCACCATCCAACCATCCCACCCATTCATATCCCCACCCCACAAGAAAGCAACAAAAACGCGTGGCGAACACATTTATTTAATATGGGGGTGGGGTATTGCTGTCTCTGTCAGTGTGTATGGGGTGGTAGGGAGACAACCAGAGGGACTTCTGCCCTGGAGTAAGAGGCTGTTCCGGCCCCAGGATGGGGGGTGAGGAGCAGACTAAGGGGACAGGGGTGACGTGTAAGGGGGGTAGGGTGAAGCTCTGCACACATCCTTGGGACCACAGTCCAGGCCCACCCAGTTACCAAAGCAAGAACCGAATAAATAAAGTGCAACCGTGGGGTTGGGAGACGGGAAGAGGGAGGGCACCGGGCGCACCCACGCCCACAGCCCACATTCAGTGCTGCCAGGTCTGGCCCAACTCTGGACCAGACCCTCCTGTCCAATCACCCCTATGTCCGTCCCTCCATGAGCCAGGCAGGGCCTCTGTGCAGCTACTGGAGGTAGCGATAGGCCTTAAAGCAGTGGTTGCCAGCATCGGCTACCACCACGTGGCCATCCGAGGTCAGTGCCAGGCCCTGTGGGCCATACAGTGGCTCTGCAGATGTGTTGATGTAGGATAGGAAGGAGCCAGAGCTGTCGAATACCTGAGGAATGAGTGGAGAATGAGGGATAAGTGAGATAAGGCAGATGAGAGGCATTTTGGGGGTGTGTATGTGCGTGGGACACAGTAGGAAACCTCACCCTCATGCCATCCCTGGGCTTTACTCACCTGGATACGGCTGTTGCCCCAGTCAGCCACGATGATGTTCCCATTGGAGTCCACAGCTACTCCCGTCGGGGCGTTAAACTGCCCATTGCCCTCACCATGGGAGCCAAACTTGAAGAGGAACTCTCCATCGGCACTGTACACCTGGCAGGGCAAAAGGCTGGGGACTGGGGAGCTGGCCTTGGGCTAAGGGTGGGGTCTTGAAGGAGGACAGGGTGAAGCCCCAGAGCTGAAGACCCTCAGATCTGCAACTACAGCCCAATTCTTCCCAGGCTTCATGTCCATGCACCCGATTGCCTACTGGACATCTCTAGTTGATGTCCCTTGGGTATATCAAATCTAAGAGCCCATCTTTCCTAGGAAAGCAGTTTTGATTTATTTTTCTCAGTGACTGGCAACACCCATTCGGCTTTGAGTCATTCTAGACTCCACCTTCTCCTCTGTCTGACAGCTGATAAATTAACACAACCATTGATTCTATCACAAATTTGTACCCTAGGCATATATTGCCACCACAATGGTCCTTATCTGGATTGATCTTACAGCCTCTACTCTTGCCCCAACCAGACTGATCTAAGACACATAGAATTGTATCACCCCACTGCCTGCAATCCTTCAGTGACTCCCCGTCACTCTTAGGAAGAGAGCAAGCCCTTTCTTTAAAGGGCATACAAGCCTCATCCTAGCAAACCCAGTCTGAACTACTTATAGTTTCTTGAACATGCCATAAGGGTTCCTATCTCCAGTTCTTGGCTCCTGTCCCCTCTGTCTTAAATCCTCTCCTCCTTCTCTACCTTCACGCTAATTCCCACTGGTGCTTTAGGTCATTCTCAGTCTCACCTGAGTCACATATTTCTGCTATGTCCTTGCACAGTTCCCTGAATGTCCTTATCACAGAATCTATCACATCACATAGGAATATGATAGGGATAGTATTTGCTTTATTCATAACTGTATCCCCAGCTTATAGATAGTACCTGGGTCAAAGCAGTTATGACATGAATGTCTACTGTTCAAATGAATGATCTTAAGGGGGCAAAAAAGGTGAGGGAGGACACTGACCTTCACTGAATGGTTATGGAAATCCGTCACTACAATCTCATTCTTGTTGTTCACAGCCACAAAGTGGGGCCCTGAAAATATAAAATGGTCTCTAGGGTAGCAAACTGGGATACTGAGTGGTATGGGGAAGAATATCTGTAGTGAAAAACCGGGGCTGTTAGGAGAGGGGTGGGGTCTCTGGGGCTGAGATAAGTGGTCTCTGGGAAGACAGTGCGGGGGCACAGTGAATGAAAGAGGTTCTCTAGGGCCTAGATACAGGAGGAGGGGTCTTTATAGCTGGGGTACTTAGGGCGTTCTCTGGGACTGGGGTATCTGAAGAGATCTGAGTTGTCCTCCAATACCTGCAAAGTGACGGTCAGTGGCCCCACGGCCCCCAAAACGGCCGACCAGCTTGCCATTTGGTTGGAAGGTGAAGACGCAGCAGGACTTGTTGTCGACCACAATGATATGTCCGTTCCGGTCTACAGCTACCCCCTTGGGGCCCATGAGGCGGCCAGCTCCAATCTTTGTCTGGAGGAAGGGGATACCCATTAAGGGCTTTATCCTTCCTGATGGGGAAAGTAGTCCTCACCTGGCACCAAAGCAGAACCTTGGGCTGGGAATGGACCAGTCAGGCCCTGACCACCAGGAGGCACTAAAATGGTTACCTCAGCTGGTCACCAGGGATGCAGAGTGTAGTGACAGTAAGGCTCTCACCTTGAACTTGCCCTCAGGGGAGAAGATGCTGACCCAACGGTTGTCATAGTCTGCCACAATAATGTCTCCGTTGGTGTCCACTGCCACACCTGTGGGGCGCTGCAGCTGCCCAGGTGAGCGCCCTCGGACCCCAAAGCGGAACTTGAACTGGCCTTCATTGGAGAAAACCTGGAGCAGAGGATCAAGGGAGGGAGGACGGAGGAGGGGAGAGACTATGGGCACAGAGGGAAGGGAGGAGGATCCTGAGGGTAGAGACCCCCCAGCTCATTCAGTCATTCAACAAGCACTGAAACCATGTGAGGGACACAAAGAAGAATCAGACATGGCTGCAGACCTTTAGGGACTTGCAGCAGAGGTGTGATGAGACTGTAAGAATATGAAAGAGGAGACAGGGAGTGGTCAAAAAGGGCTCCAAGTGAAGAGGGTATCTGAGCTAGTAACCAAAAAGAATGGCAAAAGATGGACTGAAATCGGCCAGTAAAGGAGGGGCAAGAAAGGCATTTAAGCAGAATATAGAGGGCACAGAGTCCAGTATGAGCTCCGCCTGTCCAGTGTGGCTGGACTGCAGGAAGCACTCCTATGGACAACAGGAGTGCAGTTTTACCCTGAGTGTAATGATTCACTGAAACAGGGAGTAACAAGATGAGATTTGCCTTTATGGTATGTAAGAAATATATTTGGTCTTTGTCCTCAAGGGCCTGGCACATTGCTCCTCAAAGTCCTGGAATTTCCTTACAATAGGAGTATCTTTCGTCATTCATAAGGAGTTATGCTATGGCAGTGACTTAGGCTGGGGCCCCCAGATAGCTCAGGATGGGGCTGGTCATCAGAAAGAACAAATGATTAAAGGGTTGGAACTTTCAGCCTTATCCACTAACCTATGGGAAGGGGGTGTGTGGGGGGAAGAGGAGGGGAGTTGTGCACCACATGCAGATTAAGCTCTATAAAAACCCCCAAAAAACAATATTTTGACAAGCTCCCAGGTTGGTGCTGAGAGGATGGTGCACCCCAGTTTCACGGGGACTGAAGCTCCTGCACTGGGGACTCTTCCAGATCTCACCCTTATGTGCCTCTTCATTTGGCTGTTCCTTGGTATCCTTCATCAAATCCTTTAAACTGGTAAACGTATGTAAATGTTTCTCTGAGTTCTGTGAGCCTCTCTAGTTAATTAATTGACCCAAAGAGGGGATTGTGGGAACTTCTAACTTACAGCTGGTTGGTCAGATGCATAGGTGACAATCTGGACTTGCAATTGTGTCTGAAGTGGGGGAAGTCTTATGGGACTGAGCCCTTAACCTGTGAGAGGTGAAGCTACCTCCAAGTGGACAGTGTCAGCACTGAGTTAAATTTGTAGAATACCTGGTCAGTGTCCACTGAGAATTAGAAAATTGCTTGGTGGTACTGGAAAAAACACACTGGGGCTTTTAAGAAAGAGCACTCTGGCTGCAGGGAAGAGTTGAGACCGGAAGCTAGCTGACCAGTCAGAGGCCGCCGCAGCAGTCCAGGTGAGAAATGATGACGACTAGGACCAGGGCACTTGCTACAGGGCAGTAGATGGACTCAAGAGACATATAGGAAGTAGACTCAACAAGACTTAGTAGCAGACAAGATGGGTAGGGAAGGGGGGAAATGGACAAGAATTAGCCCATCCAGGCTATGGGGTTAATAGCCTGTTGCTCTTGGACAGAATGACCTTTCAACCTCTCACCTTCTCCTACCTCCTCCACCTTAGGCACCCAACATGTTCAGTTCTCCCCATCCTAAAAGCACCTTCCTTAACGCTCCTTTCCTCCTTAGCTAAGCCTTCTTGCTTCTCCTTCACAGGCAAGACATCACTCACTGCATGAGTCTCACACTGCTTTGCTACAGGCTCTAGGGACACGAGATAAGTCAAAGCCAGGGGCAGCCTTGGAAACCTCGTTTTAGGCCTTGGCTTTGCTCTTTGATCCAGAGCTGCTCCCTCTTTAGTGGACTGGGCTCCCTATCCCCAGCCCATCCCCATCTCTTAGGCTTGCAGGACTGTTTGAACTGATCCCATCAACAGATCTCACTCCCTCCTGATGCAGACCTCCTACCACGCCATTGCCTATTCTGCCCTGGTCCCGTGGTGGAATAGCACTTGTCAGCAAGAGAAGGGAAGCACGGCAGGCTAAGGAGTTGATGTGAGAGAGACTAAACGATACCACCAGATCAGCAGTGAGGTCATGCATCTTTCTCCTCCAGTCTGAGCAGCTCAGTTTCCACTCAAAACTGATGAGGCTTGGAGGGTGTGGGGGTGTTCTTGCTCTTCTCATCCTATCATCACCACTCACAACTGACCAACTCTTGTTCATCCTTAGATTCTCAGAATTTCATGTCACTTCTTCAGAGAAGACTTTAATGACCAACTCTACGCCTGAATCAATGTATACATATACAGTTAAGTCTCCATGATATACACTTCACAGCTCTCTTCATAATGGTCACTTCTAACTAAATCACTACTAAATATCTTTGTCCCCTTCTAAAAATGTAAGTTCTAGGTATGCAGGGACTATGTCTGTTGTTTGTTGCTCCATTTGCGGTACTGGTATAGTTAACTGGCACAGAGCAGACATTTGCTCAATCTCAAACCAGAACTGGACATTTCCACTTGGATGCCACACAGCGATCTCAAACTCAACATGTGCAAAAGTGAATTTATCAGCTTATACCTAGACGTGATCTTACATGGCAATGCCACCTACCCAGTGCACCGAGTCCTGCCATTCCGGATCCCTGCCTCTCTCTTGACATCTGATGGTACATCAAAACCTGCCATGTTTGCTTCCTTAACATCTCAAGAATCTGCTGGTGCCCTAGTTTGGTTCTTACCATCTCTCTCCTACACCACAGTAGAACTAAATCACTTCAGGATCTGAATCTAGTGGGGGAGAGAGACTAAAACAAAACAAAACAAACCAGTGATTCTGGTAAAGTGTGAAAAGTGTTATAGCAAAAGGCTGAGGGAGCTCAGAGAAGAATGTGATTAATATTCTGCCTGAAGGAAATGAATAAATTTTCATAGAAGAGCTGATAAAAATTTCTGGACTAAGATAATTACACAAATTGTCAAATCAAATATACAAATCAAATTCTTCATTCAGCCTCCACTACAGACAGATCCAAAGGAGGAAACATTTACAAGGATCCTAATCCTCACAAACTGAGGGGTACAAGTCACAGTCCGTCTGGGAGTCCAGCCCATACTAGGCCTGAGGCCTCCAGAGTAAGAGAAGCAGAAACTCAGCTTTGGAATCTGTGAGCCAGGCTCCTAGCAGCTAGGAAGTCGGGGTACAGGTAGGAGCAGGAGCAAGGAAGACTACTGTAAGAATAGCAGGTGTTTGGAAAGGAAAGGGGGCTGTACTAGGCCCTGCCTCTCGATTCCTCACCCTGAAACAGTAGACATGCACAGCCCTTCATCAGAGAGACAAAGTAGCATGTCATTCTGTATGTATGGGCACCCATGTGTATGCACACCAGGGAAGGTTTCCTAAACCTCAACTTTTGTGCCAGAAAGCATCCCTGGCACAAGAAGAAGAAAAAAAGTTAGAGGGTGGAGGGAGTGACTGAGTAGGACCTCAGTACCAATTCTCTCTACCTGTGCCCCTGCCCCATCTCCTCACTATCCAGGCTGGGTCTAAATCCCGCCCTGTGCTGACCTGGGCCTCTCCATTCCTCTGCTCCTAGGAACAGGTTGGGAATATAGATGGCATGGATGGGAATATGGTCATGGAAGAGTTCCTGGCACCTTCAGCCTCCTAGGTAGAAAGCAGAGGTGAGGGAGGAGCTGACATTGAGGTGACAGACCTTTGGCAGAGCTGGATCTGTGACAGGGGTACTCAAGCAGGTCAGGAAGTTTAAATTTATAGATGTTGTGAAGTAAGAATCTTCAGGGAAATGTTTTGCTCCCTGATAAAATGTTTCCAAGAACTGAAGTTCAGGGTAGTTAAAAACAATCTTGTACAGGATAAAATCAAAATTCCAAAGCATCCTCTCCAAAACCATTTACAATGTGACCTCAGCTACTTGGTTCTTAATAGCAATCTACCTCCAGCCCCTCTGGGATCCTTCCAGTTCCCTGATCAACCCCCTCCAGCACTTTCCCACCTTCTGGCTTTTGCATTCTCCACCTGGACAATGATATTTTTAACTAACATTAGAAGGTTCACTAAGTGTCAGGCACGGTACATTATGTCATTTAATGCTCCCAGAAACCCTATGAGGTATTTGTTTCCTAATTTTACACATGATTTAACTGAAGCTCAGAGAGGTCACATGACTTGTCAGTAAGTGACAGAGCTAGGATTCAAGCCCAGGTATCTGGTTTCAAAGCCTGAACTTTTTTAACTGCTCTGCTGTGTCTACCACACTGGTGCCTGCCACTAGGCTCTGGGCTCACTACAAAGAATAGAGAGCGAAAACCACATTTCCTGGCTTTAAGGAGTGTGAAGTGTCCATTCATGTGAAGGATGCATTAATCAGGTCTGTGAGGGACTGGTCTTGCCACTGGAAGACAGCCCTTTTCGCAAGTTACCCCATTTGACTGTCTAGTCAACTGCATGTTTGCAGAGACCAGTGCAGACAAGATACATCCTGGAGCAGGAAGGTATGCTAAAAGATTGTAGAGGAGGGTAGAGCCTGCATCCTGATCATGTGGTGGTGAAAAGGGAAGAAAGTAAGCCAGCCAGGTGGAGGCTCAAGTGAAGGCAGAGGGAAAAAAGAATGAGCCAGATCTTTGGGGTCTAGGAGCTGGTCTGGCCTGAACCATGGCCTGAGAGGTAGAGGCTGCCAGCACAGTGAACCTTGGTACCTAATTGAATGTGGTTACTGTTGTGGCTGGTGGGAGTGAGGTTGCAAGTGGGTGAGTGAAGGATGGTGCTATGATTTATGGTACTATGTATAGGGTTTCATCTCTCAGGAGACCTATACACTCCTCTTTTTCAGGAGACTGTAGCTGGAGAACTTTCATTTTGGTGTTGGGGAGCTGGACAGGCACTCACCTGAATACATTGGTTGTTGCTGTCTGCTACCACTATGCGGCCACTGCTAGCTGCGGACACACCCTGTAAATTAGTAAATTCACCCTTCTCCCTTCCACGACTGCCTGTGGGAAAGGGATGAGGGGAAACAAAAGAATTCACTGGCACATCATTTTGAACCTCCCTGCCCTCTCCGCCCCGCTCTCCCGCCTGAGCCCACTTCCGCCTGGCTCTGCCCGGGAGCCAGGCCATCTGTACCAACTCGGAAGACGAGCTCATCCTCAATGGGATTGTCCTTCCGCTTGCCGCCTGTGCTGTACATGGAGCTAGGCCTCCGCACCGCCTTCTGGCGCACGTGGCTGCCTGGGCCACCAGGAGACTTGACGCGGCGCTTGACGTCGTCTGGAGACGGTGGCAGGTCCCCAGGACGCAGGGCACGCACGCGAAAGGGGCTGCCGCGCACGGGCTGGCCGTATAGCAGCACTGAGAGAAGGAGCTCGCCCTCGCAGCGCGCCGTGTACACCAGCTCGTACGTGCCATTCTTGTGGTCCACCACTGGCACTGGAAGGCGCGTGCCGTCGGGGCCCGTGAGCTCCGCACGCAGCTCGGCGCTGCCCGTACGCACGAGACGCCCATCTTTGTCTTTGGTAGTGACAGTGAGCGAGGCGGGCTGGCCTACCAGTGCCTGGCGCAGGCCTTCACCTGTGGCCACCGTCTCGTGTGCAGTGGCGTTCGTAGTGAGCAGTGCACCCAGATTGAGCACCGATCGCCGCAGCCCATCTACCTCGAGGACCAGTTCCAGCTGCGCATTCTCGTGTGGCCTCTCTGGGAAGGCCTGCGCTGCCAACGCTGCCAGCCGCTCTCGCATGTGCTTGCGCACCAGTAACACCTCCGGGGCTGAGCCCAGGCGCAGTGCCTGTTCCGCGAAGCTGCAGCTACTGCCGATGTGTTCTTGACCCTGGCGCAGTGTGTCTAGCTGGGTCTGCAACACCTGAGGAAGCGTTAGGGGAGGGTTGGGTGAGCAGACTGGCGCAGAGCAGGGTATCTGTGATTTCCGATGAACTCGTAATACGACAGCATTAAAGAAATACAAGAGGGGAAATGTGGACACAGATGCCCACAGCACCTGTGGGGCCACGTCAGGAGGCAGGAAGTCTGGACAAGGGAAAGGGGTGCACAGGTGTGGAAAGCAGGAACACATGGAGGCAATAAAGCCTTCTCATGATGGACAGTGGTAGGGAAGGGTGAGCAGAGGTACCTTCTGCTTGGCCCCACAAATGGCCTCCAGGTCGCTGACCAGAGCCTGCTTGCGCTGCTGTAATGCTTGCTCCAGGTCCTCAAAGGCTGCGCTGATCTGGGCCAGAGCCTCTGCTTTGCGCTCCTGCAGCTGCTGGCTGATGCCCCCCACTAAGGCAATAGCTGCAGACAGCTGTGGCAGTCTGGGGAGGGGAAAAATCTCATACTGGGGTGGCTTGAGGTGCCCTCACCAAACCATTCCTTCTCCCTGCTGCTGCCCTCCAGGAGATTGCCCTACCTGAGGCCTCCTGGCCCTATCTAAGAATTTTATCTCTACACTCCCCAGGGTCCCTCGCCTGCCCCTGCTGAGACACCATCCCTGATGGCCCCCACCAGCCCAGGTTTCCAACAGGTGCCTACCGGCCTCGCACAGCCTCCAGCTGGCGCTGCAGGGCTGCCTTGTGCTGCTCCACCACGTCACGTAGCAGCACCGTGCCGTGCTCCCGGTGCTCCCCTGCCCGACACTCGCCACACATGGCTGTCTCACAGGCCTCACAGTAAAACTCCATCGTCTGGCAGCATAAAGACTTCAGTCAGGCAGTGGCTAGACACCAAACTTCTGTGCCCCTCCCCATCTGCCCTCCCGGCCCCTTACCTTCCAGGTGCACCCCCTACCTGGACCACTTATCCAGAGAAACACCCTCTTACCCAGTCGGCCCCTCCCCCACCTCCTGACCCTCCACCCCAAGTCCTGGCCTCACTGGGCCTGCTTGGGCCCACCTTGCCTTCATGGTTGGGGCAGGAGAGGGGGCGGCCAGCCACTGCACTGAGGGGGTGGGGGTCTTCGGGGTCATGGGCCCCATCAGATGCTTGCTGCATCGCCTCCATGAGGCTGCTGATGAAGAAGTTATTCTGCAGTGCCGAGACACCCTGCTCAGGGAGGATGGATGTCTGCCGACACACCGGACAGGACAGCGTCAGGCTCTGGGCAGGGATGTAGTTCTGGAGGCATCTGGCCAAGAAGGAGGTAGAGCCGAAAGAGTGAGTAGAGCATCAGTGCAACCCTCCTCATACCTTCCATGGTACTATCCCTCTTCTCAAAGGTATGCCGTTACACTTCATTTTGAAACCTATCTCTGGATGGCACACACATCTTGCCCTGCCAATAGGTATAAAAGGACTCATTTCTCACAACTGAGTAGAAACACATCCCTGACCTCTCCCAGAATGCGACATATCCTCATTCCTCACAGTGTGCACAAACACAGGTTCACCTTTCAGAGGTGTTTACAAACTCTTTTCATAGATAAATGCCCCCACTTCGTTAACTCATTAAACATTTATTGACTGCCTACTCTTGCCAAATTTGTGCCAAGCTCTGGGGATACAAACATAAAGCACACTGCATACCTCTAAAATACTTCTAATCTACTGAAAAGAGAGGTCACAGAAATAGAGAGTTTTAGAAGTAAACAGTGGAATAATTAAGGGTGTGTTGTGTGTCCTGGAGCTAGGCTGCGTGGGTTCAATTCCCAAGGCAGTCATCTATTATACTGTGTGACCCCTGACAAGTTACTTAACTTTGATGAGCCAAGGATTCTTCCTTTGTAAGATGGAGACAGTATAGACTTTACAGGGTGTTGGAAGGATTAACTGTAAAGGGCTTATAAGCCCAACTCACAGAAAGCACTATATATTATAGGTGATTAGTATTATTTATTGTTAATATAAAGAATACAATAGATGCACTGATAAGGAAATGTACAGAAGGGGCATCTGGCCCAGAGTAGGTGGAGAGGGTAGCCAGGAAAAGCTTCAGAGGATAAGCCAAATCTTCATGGATAAATAATGCTAGCCTGACCAAAGAAAGGTACAGGGAGAAGAACAGTGTTCCAGACAGAGAAGGCAGCCAGAAACAGTATAGTGTGGGCAGGGAATTATAAACAGCTTGATGTGGCTGGAGACCAAGTCCAAGACAAGGAATGGTAAGAGGAGTCTGGAGAGAGAGGCAGGGGCCAGCTATGGAGGGCCTCGTGGGATACACTGAGAAGCTTACAAGTTATTGCGACAACAAAAGAGAGCCACAGGAGCATGGGTCAGCCAGGTTTACATTCTATCAAGCTCCTCTTTACTGCTTCTGGGCAGAGGGTGAATTTGAATGTGACAAAACAGTAGACAAGGGGTGGTAGCATCATCATCATCATCATCGTCCACTTTCCATTTATTAAGCACTATGTGCAAAGCACTGTGCTTTGCTCTTTGTGTTTATGTAAACAGACTCTGAAAGACTAAGTGGTCCAAAGTAACAAAATGAATGAGTATTAGAGCCTGGATCAAAATCCAATGCAAAGCATGTGCTTAACCATGATACTCTTGCAATAGTCTGGGCAAGAGATAAGAAGACCTGGATCTAGGCAGCAGCAATGTAGACTAAGGTGGAACAAATCTGAGAAGTACTTAAGAAGTACAGCCAATGGAAGGTGTTGTCTGATTAGATATGTGGAGTAAGAGATGAGTCTTGGTTGACTCCCAGATTCCTAGCTTAGATCCCTGAGTGGATGGTGGTGACATTCATTAAGATGAGAAACTAGAAAGAGTGGTTTATAGAAAAGTTCAGCCTGGACCTGGCCAAATTTACTCTAACAGTTGACATCCAGGTAGAGAGACCTGTCGAGAGCTGGGAAGAAGGCAGGTTAGACATAGAAATGAGGATGCCATCAGCATTTAGATGGCCTCTGTAGCCATGGGAGAGGATGCAATCAGCCAAGAAGGGGTAGACAGTAATGAAAGCAGGTCAGAGCACCCAGCAAATACTGAATGAGGGGAGCAAAAAGAAACAGGCAGAGAAACAGGGGGAGAGACAGTGTCAGGGTAGCAAATTCCAGATGGAAAGAATGAGTAGTCATCAGTGTCAAAAGCAGTGGAATCAGAGAACATAAAGACCAGGAAATGCCCATCACATTTGGCAAAAATGAGTACTTTTGTCTGTAAGGAAAACAGCGGAGTGGTAGAGGAAGGAAAGCTTGACTTTTGCCAGTTGAAGAGTGAATGGGAGGTTGGAAGTTTGGATGGCAGCTGGGCGAATAAACGCAGAAAGGACAGTTATCTGTTTGTAATGGGACCCTTGAGCATGCTTATAAATTGAGGAGATAGTACAGAAAGAGAGGTGGAAGAGACTAGAAGACATGAGACAAGATCTAGGGACGGAAGGGTGGCTCAGATTGGCCTGAAGAGGAGGACTGGACCTCATCCCTCCATATGGAGGGAAAAAAAGAGGTGGATGTACTTGAGTCCAGGCGGCAAAGCTAGAGAGAGAGAAAAAATGCCTAACTTGCCTCAGGCAAGATCAGCTGCTGAGAGTGAAGGAGGGAAAATACAGAACAGCAGGGCTGTGATTAGTCACCAAAGGAAGTAGGAGAGGAAGCTTACTAGAAACAGACTGATGGCAGCATGTTTGGAGACAGCGAATTTGTGGAGGGAAGATCTGCATGCTGCAAACTTTCCCATGTCCCCAATCTCTTCTGTTAATGTTCTCCACGACTCTTGATCTTAACTAATTAAATTTTATTTATTTAACAAACACTATGTGCCAGGCACGACTCTAAATGCTTCGCAAATATAAACTTACTTGTGACCTCATTTCCCCTGCAGTCCTTTCAAGTAGAGAGTGGTTTTTGCCTCATACTCCACATTCCTTAGGAATAGAAGGTGCGGTTGAGTCCTCCCCGCCCCCAACTGGAACATTTCTAAACTATTCCTCAGCTCCCTGGAAGTTCATGCCTTCTATCTACATACCTCTCCTTGTTATTGTCTCTGCTGACTTAATGGTTGCTTCCCCATTCTCTGAAGCTTTTCTTCTGGTTTATTCTCTACTTTGATCCGCTCTCCCTCACACATACACACACACCTGCCATCAATCCCAGTGGCTCTGACATCGACAAGGTGACCCACCCACCATCAGGATTTCTTAGTCCCTTGACCTCCTCACCCCCAGTGATCTTTTCTTCCACTTCACTTCAGCTGTCCACTCCCACCACCACCCATATCCCATCAGCTGTCACTGCATCAACTCTGAAATCTGCATTTCAACCATTCCACTCCATTCCCCTGTAGCTCTCTTCCCAGCTCACTGAATCTGGTGTTTCTCCTGCAAAATACCCTCAAACTCATAAAGCCCTTCCTATTGGTTGACCATACCTGGCTTACAATAGCTTCCTAACTGGTTTCTTGCTTCTCTACAATCCATTCTCAAAACAGCAGCCTGAGTGAGCTTTAAAAAATCTAATTTATGTCATATTTCCGATTTAAAAAAAAAAAAAATCCTCCAATGGTTTCCCATTGCATTTAAAGTAAAATCCGAACGCCTTCCTAAAACTGCCAAAGTCCCCCACGAACTGTCCTGACTCTTTCGGACCTCACTTCATCCCACTTTCTTCCTCACTCAGCCACTTCTTCCTTAAGGCCTTTGTATGGAACAATGCAAAGAGTTCCCAGTGCCTGGAACAATCTGCACATGTCTGTTTCCTTCTTATCCTCAGGTGTCAGGTCAAATATCACCTCCTCAGGGAAACTTTCCTTGATGACTCTATGAAAAATAGCCTCTAGCTCAACCACCCCCACTTACTCCCTGCAAAACACTCAGCATAAGATGTGACATGACTGTTTGATTTTTACTTGTTTACTGTCCATCACTGCTCACTAGATCATAAGTTCTTTAAGAGCAAGGACCAAAAGATAAATGAGTGAGTAGTAGTTAACAGTGAAGGCTCTGCAGAATACTATGAACAATTATAGTCCAACAAATTGGAAAACCTAGAAGAAATGGATAAATTCCTGAAAACATACAACCTACCAAGGGTAAATTATGAAGAAATAGAAAATCTGAATAGATTGATTACAAGTAATGAAGTTGAATCAGTAATTTTAAAACTCTTAAAAAACAAAAGTTTGGAATGAGATGGCTTCACAGGCGAATTCTCCCAAAGATTTAAAGAAGAGTTAATACCTATCCTTGTCAAATTATTCCAAAAAATTAAAGAGGAAGAAATGCTTCCAAACTCATTTTGAGACCAGCATTACCCTGATACCAAACCCAGACAGAGATCCCACAAAAAAAGAAAATAACAGGCCAATATCCCTGATGAACACAGATGCAAAAATCCTCAGCAAAATATTAGCAAACCAAATTGAAAAACACATTAAAAGGATCACACATCACGATCAAGTGGGATTTATTCCAGGGATGCGAGGATGGTTGACATCCACAAATCAATCAATGTGATACACCACATCGACAAAATGAAAGATAAAAATCATTTGATTCTCTCAATATATGCAGAAAAAGCATCTGACAAAATTCAACATCCATTTATGATAAAAACTCTTAACAAGGTGGGGGTAGAGGGAACATAACTCAACATAATAAAGGCCATATATGACAAGCCCACAGTTAACATCATATTCAGTGGTGAAAAGCTGAAAGCTTTTCATCTAAGATCAGGAATAAGACAAGGATGCCCACTCACTACTTTTATTCAACATAGTATTGCAAGTCCTAGCTACAGAAATTAGGCAAGAAAAATACATAAACATCATCCAATTGGAAAGGAAGAAGTAAAACTGTCACTGTTGGCAGATGACATGACATTATATATAGGAAATCCTAAAGACGCCACCAAAAAACTATTGGAAGTAATAAATAGATTCAGTAAAGCCATAGGATACAAAATTAACATACAGAATTGGTCTTGTTTCTATACACTAATAAGCTATCAGAAAGAGAATTTAAGAAACAATACCATTTACAAGTGTATCAAAAAGAATAAAATAGCTAGGATTAAATTTAACTAAGGAGATCAAAGACCTGTACTCTGAAAATATAAAACATTGATGAAAGAAATTGAGAACACAAATAAATGGAAAGGTATACCATGATAATGAATTGGAATACTTAATATTGTTGAAATGTCCACTCTACCAAAAGCAATCTACAGATTCAATGTAATCCCCATCAAAATACCAATGGCATTTTTCACAAAACTGGAACAAAGAATCCTAAAATTTGTAAGGAACCACAAAACAGCAAAAGCAATCTTGAGAAAGAAGAAAAAAGCTGGAGGTATCACACTCCAATTTGAAACTACGCTACAAAGCTATAATAATCAAAACAGTACGACACAAACATGAAAACAGTCACATAGATAAACAGAATAGAATATAAAGCCCATAAAATAAACTCACACATATATAGACAATTAATCTATGACAAAGAAGGCAAGAAAATACAATGGGGAAAAGACTGTCTCTTTCATAAATGACATTGGGAAAACTGGACAGCTACAAGCAAAAGAATGAAACTGGACCACTCTCTTACACCATATACAAAAATAAATTCAAAATGGATTAAAGACTCAAATACAAGACCTAAAACCCTAAAACTGCTAGAAGAAAAACATAGGCAGTAAGCTCTTTGACATTGGTTTTAGCAATATTTTTTAGACCAGTCTTGTCAGGCAAGGACAACAAAGCAATAAGAAACAAATAAGATTACAATAAACTAAAAAGCTTTGCACAGAGAAGGAAACCATCAACAAAATGAAAAGAAAACCTACAGAAAGAAAGAAAATATGTGCAAATCGATATCTGATATGGGGTTAATATCGAAAATAAATAAAGAACTTATAGAATTTAATATCAGAAAAACAACCCAATCAAAAATGGGCAGAGTACTCGAATAGACATTTTTCCAAAGAAACATACAGATAGCCAACAGACACATGAAAAGATGCTCAACATTACTAATCATCAGAGAAATGCAAATCAAAACCACAATGAGTTATCACCTCACACTTGTCAGAATGGCTATTATCAAAAAGAAAAAATAACAAATGTTGATGAAGATATGGAGGAAAGGAACCCCTCCTACACTGTTGGTGGGAATATAAAATAATGCAGCCACTATGGGAAACAGTTTGGAGTTTCCTCAAAAAACTAAAAATAGAACTATCATACGATCTACCAATTCTACTTCTGGGTATTTATCAGAAGACAACGAAAATACTAATTTGAAGAGATATATGCACCCCTAGGTTCACTGATTATTATTTACAATAGCTAAGATATGGAAGTAACTTAAGTGTCCACCGATAGGTGAATGGATAAAGTTGCTTGTGTGTGTGTGTGTGTGTGTGTGTGTGTAATGGAATATTATTCGGCCATAAAAAAAAAAGAATTAAATCTTGCCATTTGTGAAAACATGAATGGAGCTAGATGGTATTATGCTAAGTGAAGTAAGACAGAGAAAGAAAGACAAATACAATATGATTTTACATACATGTGGAATCTAAAAAAACAAAACAAAACAAAAACATACTCATAGACACAGGAAACAAATTGGTGGTTACCAAAATGTGGAGGGGTTGGGGGTTGGGAGGGAGCAACAGGTGATGGGAATTAACAGGTATGAACATCCAATTATAAAATAAATAAGTCATGGGGATATAATGTACAGCATAGGGAACACAGTCGATAATATTGTAATAATTTTCAATGGTGACAGTAACTAGATTTATCATGGAGATCATTTTGTAATATATATAAATATCGAATCACTATGACATATGCCTGAAACTAACAGGATATTATATGTCAATTATACATCAATAAAAAAGAGTGACAAGTCTGCAGTCAAATCTGGATTCAGACCTCGACTATTGCTGTAGACATATTTCTTAATTACTTAACGACTCCGAACCCTAGTTTCCTCTGCTCTGAAATGGGGATAATAAAGTATCTGTTGTGAAGATTAAGTAAATCAATACATGTAAATCACTTTGTCAGTCCCAGGCAAATACTAAGCAATCAATACATGGTAGCTATTATAATTTCTCAGGCACTGATTTTCTCCAGAAGTGTTTAGTGATCTGGGGGTAGGAGAAGGTGCAGAGACATCTTTACTGATCAAGCATTGAGCTTCTGCCATGTGGGTTTAGAAAAGGACAAAGATGTGAGGGAATTATGGCAGCCAGTCAAATGGACAGCCATTGGATCCAGGATGGGTAGGACAGACAGAGAGGCCAGGATGGATCTGGTGGCTGGGAGAAGAGGGAGGAGTTGAGCAGGCTGGATGTCTATATCCAGTCAAAGCTGGTACAGTGGGAGTGGGATACTGGACTTTAAATAATACTACCCAGAAGAGGAATTATTCTGGGTGATGGCAAGATCCAGGGCATTGCTGGGAAACTGTATGACTAAGGTGGCATGGAGGATATCCCTGGAGAAACAGTCAAGAACCAAGAAGCATAAGTGGGTGATGAAGTCACCAAGGTTGATGGAAGAATGTGGAATGGGCAGGAAGACTGAGACTGTTTCCAGTTGATGAAGGAAGGGGAGAGAGCAGTAGGACTGGAATCTGAATGAACAGGGCTGGAAGGGAAGCAGGGTCCCTGGGGCAGAGCCAGGTTTCAGACCAGGCAGGAGGCAGAGAGAATGCTTGGGTGGAAAAAAAATGTGAAAAAACCCAGGGACCAGGCCATTCACGACAGACCAAAGAGGGATGAAGGCTGGAGAGAGAATATTGTCCGAATACAGATGTGATCAAGTTTAAAACCCTGCAAAGACTTCATGTGGCTCTCTGGGTAAAGGCAAAACTCCCTAACAGGCCCACAAAGCTCTCCGCGTGGTCTGGCTTCAACCTTCCTCTTGAGCCTCATCCTGTGCCACTCTGTCACACTAGCACTGCTCCAGCTTTGCAGGGCTTCCTCTAGGCCCTCTGACCTGATACAGTCCCTCATCCCACATTCTTCCTTCTGCCTGGAATGCTCTTACCATTCTCTTCACTTAGTTCCTGCTCAGCCTCCAGATCACACCTCAGGGAAGCCTTTCCCGATTCTCCAATTATAAGAGTCCACATGCTAAGCTGTCATAGCTTAGACTTTATTTGCAGCACTTATTAAGGGTGCAATATTACATTTACCTATAGTCTGGCTATATTATTTGATTACTTTCTCCTTCATTATACTGTAAGCTTTCTAAGAGCAAAAAATGTATCTTTTTTGCTTATCACTGCATGCCCAGTGCCTGGAACATGGCTGGCACATAGTAGCTGCTCAATATATAAATATCTGTTCAATGAATGAATAATTGATAGAAGCCTAGAGGCTGGGAGGGGTTATCTTCTCTCACTGCCTCAATCTGTTCAATGAATGAATAATTGATAGAAGCCTACAGGCTGGGGAAACAATGAGGACAGGCAAGGAAGGACAGACCTAGCTTCAAATATCCTCCCACTGGTCACAAATTCTTCTGGTGCCAGAGTTGATTCAGTCACAGCTCTGTCTGATTTCTCTGGTGCTGTCAAAGGCTGCCTTGGGGTTTGGAGAGGGGCAGAGACAGCTCTGTTCTGGGCAGGGATGATAGCTCAGTGTTAGGAGCTTCTGGTCCTCTCATGGGTTCCTCCATCAAACCCTCATCTCCTACAGGTTGGAAGTCACCGGCTCTCCTGCATGTGTACACAAATTTACCTCACCTCTTATAGGTTTATACATGCTATTCCCCTCTAAGGAGTGCCTGCAAGGTCTTTATCCCTCCTAGTACACAGCCCCCCTCACCTCTCACAGAAGGTATGCAGGCAAGGCAGAACCTTGGGGCACCGGTACCGATCCAGGCAGATGCTGCACACCAGGAACTGCTTGTCCATTGGCTGGACCTCTGGGCCAGGGCTGTCCTCCCTCTTTGCCATGGTGCTCACGATGGCTCCTGGCACTCACACCAGCCTGTGTAAGGAGAGATGGTCAGCACCTGGGAAGTCAGCATTCCCGCTCCCCACCTGGTCCCCACCACTCAAATGCCCTGCAGAGAACTAGCCCCATTTCTTCCCTGCCAGGGGCAGGACAAACAGTGAACTGGAAGGAGCAGGGTGAAGTAGGTGGGCTGAGTGACCCCTGAGCATGCGCTGTAGTTAAGAGCACACACTTAGGTTTCAAACTCAGCTCAGCCTCTTACCAACTATATGACCTTGGACAATTCATATAACCTGAGACTCAGTTTCCAATTTGGAATTATGGGAATAACAATCCCTACCTCAAATGGTTGTTTGGAGAATTTGCAACAGTGTATGTCAAGTGCATGGTACATGGGTGCCCACTCTTACTGACACACCCATCCTTCAACTCCTCTGCCTCCTCCAGATTCTCCTCCAGGAGACCTTTCTGATGGAGTGTCTCTCTTCTCTGACTACCTACAGCCCTCCTACCTATACTCTGACCCACCTCTCAGCACAACTGCCCAGGATTGCATTTTTTCCCCACATGCCAATCAGTATCCAGCTCTGTGGATTCTGCCTCCCAAATCTCTTATCCCCTTTTCTCCAACCACACAGCTACTGCCCCCAATTCAGATCACCACCAATTCTCTCCTGTGATACAGCAATAGCCTTCTAACTGGTATCTTTTTCTCCTCACTTGTGCCTCTCATCCATCCACGCAGTCAGAATGAAGCTTTTAAAACACAGATTCCATCTTGTCACTAACTCCGTTTATATTTCTTTCAACAGTTATCCATTGTCCATACTCCTTAAACTGGGTCACTAACTCCGTTTATATTTCTTTCAACAGTTATTGTCCAAACTCCTTAAACTGTCCAACAAGGCTTAGCTTTGCCCATAACTCCCTCTACCTCCTCATGTCTCATGATTCTATGATCAGTCACACTGATTTCTTTTCAGTTCCTAGAAAACTCCTTTTACTTCTAGGCAGTTACATATTCTGTTCTCTCTGCCTGAGATCCTCTTCTAAGGCCCTCTTTGTCTGGCTGACTACCACTTATCTTTCAGGCTGCCATGTAAATGTCACTTCCTCCAGAAGGCCTTCCCTGATTTCCTGAAGTCTGGGTTAGATGCTCCATCTTTATGTCTCACTGCATCCTGTATTTCCTTCATCCTAGCTCTTATATGCCATACTATAATTTTCTTGTTACTTCTCTGCTTCCTCTACTGTATGCAGAGTTCTTGAGGGCAGATATATTTTATTTTTCTTAATCCTAGCTCTTAGCACAGAGGTTGACATAGGATCAATTTACATTTATTGAATTAATTCAGTAATTCAACAAATATTTATTAAGTGCCTACTTTGTATAGGCACTGGCGATAGAGTAATAAAACAGCTTTGGTCACTGTCTCTATGATGGGGAGGTGGTGACAGATATTTTAAAAGTAAATAAACAAATAAATAGATAATTATAAATTGGGAGAGGGGAGTGCTATAAAGAAGAAAAGGGTGCTATGAGAAGGAACATTTTCTTGATTGGGTGATCAGGGAAGGCCTCTCCAAGTAGGTAACTTTTAAGCAAAGCTGTGAGAGATAGAAAGAAAATGGTAAGAATAAAGGTGGAGGCATCAGAGAGTGAGGGAGGGAAATCATTCTAGGCTCAAGGAACAGCATACATGAAAGTTCTTAGAGGGCTCACTGAGAACCCAAAAGGATCATTTGGTTAGAGCAAAGTGAATAAGAGGCAACAGGTGAGTTTGGGAAGGTCCGCAAAAAATGAGATCAGGCAGGACCTTGATGTTAAGAATATGGTTTTCTCCTAAATTGGGAGGGAAATGATGCAATTTACAAAAATAAATAAATAAATAAATTTAAAAGATACTTTGGCAGCTATGAGGGGTAGAAGCAGGGAGACCAGTTCGGAACCTACCCCAGTTCTTTAGTAAGAAGTTGTTGGGTATTAGCAGAGCTATAGGCAGAAAGGTAGGTTGATTTGAGAAATATATTCATGAGGTTGAATTGAAAGTACATCATGATGGATTGGATGTGAAAGGAGAAAAGGAAAGGCAATAATGACCCTCAGATTTCACCCTTGAGCAGTGGTGGGCCATGCAGAGAGTCAGTGAAAGCTGAGAAGCTGATTTGGGGCATTCTGTTTTAGGCATGCTAAGTTTGAATGCCTGTGTGATATCCACATAGAAACATCAAGTAAGGAGTGAAATATAGGAGCTCAAGGGAGAAGTTGGGGCTTGTTATTGATTTAGGAGCACTGACATATTAATGACACGTAAAGCAATGAGAATGAATGAGACCACCTAGGGACAGAGAGTGGAAAGTAAAGGAGAATCCAGAGCAATGGGAGGAAAACCAAGGGAGTGTTGGACCAAGGGAAACAAAAGAAGAGAGAGTGATCCCTGATGTGAGCACTGGAATTCTCTCTTCAGAGGTGATGGGTTCTGAATCTGGAGACTTAATACAGGCACAACATAGCAGTGGGGAGAACAGATTGAAGGTTGGCGGAAGAAACAGGAGGCCAGAGCCGAGCTGAGGCTTCTGTCTGGTGAAGGGGAGGGCTAGGAGGAAGAGTAGGAGAAGTCCGCTGCGCCCGCTCAGCTGGGGCAGCGGATGTCAGGCTCTGCCTCTCTCCAAGGCCAAGGGGCTCTAGGAGCCTGTCTCACAGGGGCGGGGATTGGGCTACATCCAAGATCTAACAGCTCCTCCCTCCCTTCCCCTTCCTGCTTCAGTTCCCCACCCAGACTTGCCAGGCATGCAATCGCTGAGGCCATACCCCAGCCTGGATCACTCAGATTACCTTCTCCTGGGCTCCTATTCCCACCTCTCCCATACCACTGTGCCCTAGAGATCTGCCCCTAGATCTCTAGGCAATGGTTTAAGTGGACTATTTATCACAGCAGACACTTGGCGAACCTTGACCTCAGAGCTGAGTTCACTCTTT